GCCTTTAGGGGCAATTCCTGATCCAAAAGGGCTCTGGAGGAGGTTAATAGAGATTTCAAATTTTTTCAGAGGAGGTGAACCTGGGCTCCTGTTGAAGTGAAGGCTGATTTGCTTCTGGTTCACCTGTTCCTGAGCAGAGGCAGCCTCCCTGCTTGGTGTGGGAGTCTCTAGTTAGTATTCCACCTTGGCCAGCCCTGGACTCGGACTTCAGCTCAGAAGCGCCAGTCTGCCAGGATCACCGCATATCGTCAAGGGAAAGGGGGCCTTCGCTAGAGACCATTTCTAGGAGTTTCCATTTCCTTTGTTTTTGCACAGTTATTCCTTGGTCAGTTGTAGAAGTGTCAGCTTTTTTTAAAAAAAATTATTTTATTTATTTTTATTTTATGTGTATGAGTGTATTGCCTGCATGGGTGTTAAGTGCTCCTGTGTCGTGCAGTGCCCTTGGAGGTCAGAAGAAGGCATCGGATTCCCCTGGGACTGGAGTTATGGATGACTGTTAGCTGCCATGTGGGTGCTGGGAATCAAACCTAGGTCTTCTGTAAGAGCAGTCAGTGCTCTTATCCGCTGGACCATCTCTCCAGTCCCAGCTATTTAGAGGTGGGCTATTTTATGGTGGGCCTGATGGAGCCACCTCCCCAGACATCAGACGCTGGTCCATCTCTTCTCCTTCTTGCCATCCCTTCTGGGCCAGCCATAGTCAATCGGCAGCACCACTGTGATCGTGTCACACTTGCTTAAATTAAGCACATTGGTGGCAGGAAATTGTCCCTAGGGGAGCTTGGAGACAATGTTAGTTTTAGACTCCAAAAGTCTTCTTCATACGAGCTGCAGAGGTCAGTGCTAGACTCCAGTGTCTTGTACTCTGCTGGTGACTTTGGAAGGAGGTTAGTGGGAAGGGAAATCTTCATTGGTATTTCATTTTTCTAAAGGCTGAAGACAGTAAATTTTTTTTGTCCTTTTGAGGCAGGGTCTCCCTGTATCCCCAGCTGTCCTGGAACTCACTATATACCAGGCTGACTTTGAACTCACCTGCCTCTGCCTCTAGAGTGCTGTGATTAAAGCCATATTGTATACCATTGTGCCAAGCTACAAGCCTGCATTTGCACCCGTGTCATTCAGTGCCCAGAGGTCAGAAGAGGGTGTTGGATTCCCATGGAACTGGAGTTACAGATACTTGTTAGCTACCCCGTGGGTGCTGGGAATCAAACCCCTGTTCTCTGTAAGAGCAGTCAGTGCTCTTAACCACTAAGCCATCTCTCCAGCCCCAAGACCATCATTTTTTTGAACCTGGACATAACTGGTTTTGGCAGTAGAGGGCAGGATACTTGGCATTTTCCTAGCTACTAGATTGTCAGGGGGCTAAGGACCCCTTTCATTTCTCTGTGTAACCAGTTTACCAATGATTTGGCTCCTAGAAGTTCCTATCTAGTCTCATTGTGAACCTAAGGAAATGGAAACCCATAGAAATAGGCTCGAGAGAAGCCACTCCTGGCAATAATAACCTAAGTAGAAGTCTATGTTCACCCTCTCCTCATGGCTTATAGGCCAGGAGATTTCCTTGCACTTAAAGAGTGGCAGTGAGAAAACAAAAACAAGAATCAAATTTTCACAGTGGCGAACACCTTTAATCCCAGCACTCAAGAGGCAGAGACAGGTGGATCTCTATGAGATCGAGGCCAACCTGGTCAGGGTTAAAGGGAAACCCTGTCTCAAAGCAACAAAAACCATAAAGAGTGGCAGTGATGCTCCGGCCTCTGGTGGCTTGCTCTAGTGAAACTAGGGAAGTAGAGCCAGTGGTCAATGTAGATTTGCCAGTGTTTCCAGTGAACCTCTGAAACTCTTCTTGAGGCTTGGCCAGACTGCCTGCTCTATCTGGCAACCTGGCACCTACTTTTCTTTTCTTTTTCTTCTTTCTTTTTTTTCTTCTTAACACAGGGTTCTTCCTATCGCCTCAGCTGGCTTGGAACTCGCTATGTAGACCAGGCTGGCCTTGATCTCATAGAGATTCACCTACCTTTGCCTCCCGAGTGTTAGGACTAAATGCATGTGCCACTATGCCTGACAATACCCACTTTTCTCTGGAGCTTACCTCAGGCCCTCTTGACTGAAAGAGTTTGGGAACAGGTTGGGCATAGATCAGCAGAGGTCCCTTTCAGCATGGGCTGTCTGGAAGAGAATTGGGCAAGTTGGCCCCTGGTGGCCTCTATACAAAAATACCAGCCTTTTGAGCAGGTCAGCTTTATCCCTGGGACCTGGCCTAGTTGCTGAGACCATAGGTTCCATTGATGTTTTTACCCTAGGACCTTGAGCTGTGCCTAGCTTGGTTCTTGACTCCTAGGCTACCACCCTCCGCAGCTGGGCCTCTCCACTCTGCCCTGCTTCCCAGTAGACCAGCTTTCCCCGTTCAGCCTCAAAACTGTGCTTTATCCTCGACTTGAGCCCACAGCCTCCTTCATTGGCAGCTACTGCTCCTTATGAAGCAGCCTCAGAACAACCCTTATACATTACACTTTACCTTAGCAAAGTACTTACTGAGAGTTAGCTAGTACCAGTCTTTAGTTTTCTATTACCACTGTAGTTTTATTTTTAAATTACCCTTGTGAGGGGCTGGAGAAATACTCAGCAGTTAAGAGCATGGATTGTTCTTGCAGAGGACCTGAGTTCAGGCCTAGCACTCATGTCAGGTGGCTCACAACCATCAATAATTTTTGCTCTAGGGAATCTGATGCCTCTGGCCTTCAAGGGTACCTGCACACTGGTGCACATACCCCCCCATACATATACACATAATTAAAATTTTTTTAAATCAATCTTTAAAACATTGCCCTTGTGAAACTAGGTGGCAGTTAAATGAAAACCAAGCTGTTCCTGGTTTTGTTTTCTTTGTAAGCCTACAGATCTGCTGGTGTAAAGATAACAGGAAAGATCATCTTGGACTGCAGGGCCCTGGACCAGAGGCTGCATTATCCCAGCTGCTGCCCATTTGTGGCTGTTGATTGCTGTGTCTGGTTGATGGAGGTCACTCTGTCTTGTATTCAGTGAGGACAAGAGAGCCTGAGGGTCATGGAAGACTGTGGACAAAACTCTACTAGAAAGTCTTTCGGAAAGTACTTTTTCTCAAGGATCTGATAGTAAAAATGTACAATTTCAGTTGTGGTCTGGATCTGACACTAGCATTCTTTTTTTGGTCTTTTTGGGACAGGATCTCCCTACAGCCCCAGCTGGCCTGGAACTCACTATGTGGACCACACTGCCCTCAGATCTGCCTGCCTCTGACTCCCAAGTGCTGGGATTAAAGGCATGCACCATCACACCCTGCCTGACATTGGAATTGTTCTTAGAGAATTTCCTTTCTGGTGATCCAGGAATACCGTTTCCCATCCCTGGCCCTCAGGTTTTATCTGCTATCTTGTTGGTAGTATCAGTTTCCAGTACTTTGAACAGAAACATTTGACTTAAATGTAGGAATAAGCACTGTTGATAGTCTGTGGTAGACTCCTTGTCAATGTACGGGGTTGAGTTGTCACCTATAAGTATAAACATGTAGGCTTTTAGATTTGGACAATACCCCAGATCTCCCATTTTTTGATAATACTAAGACCCAGAGAGGTTGTGGCTTATTCAAGCTCCACACAGTCAGGTGGGAAAGGAGCAAGTACCAGAGGCCAGGTATTCTTCACACTTTTCCATGATGCCTCTCTTGTAAGGGCTCCTTCCCCCCAGTATCTCCCCTCTGGCCTGCAGGCAGAGAACAGACCTAAGTGACCAGCTATATACTGTGCCCACATTTATCATCGTGCCCCTGTCTCCCTTCCTTCTAATCATGCCCATTCTGCACGGTTACCCACTAGTTCAGAAGACAGAGTAGGCGACCAGTGTCCCACCCTGGCCTTTCTTCCTCAGAACTCCTGAATCTGCCCTACATCTTTGCCCTTCTGGTGGCAACTCTGTTTAGATGTAGAGTTCCAGTTTGGGAGTCCTGATATGATGCCTGTGCCCAGTAAACAGGCTGCATGTAGCGAGGTATGGTGGCTCACCCCTGGGGTCCCAGCACTTAAGAGGCTGTGGCAGGAGGATCATGAGTTGCGGCTAGCCAGAGCTACACATTGAGCTCTAGCCTTAAAGGACAGTGAATGAGTGAGGTGAGATGTCACATATTAGATGCCACAGGTGGGGCTTGGCATTGTCTGTCCTGCTGCTCAGCTTTTCAAGTGTCTGTCTTCTCTCCAACTAGCTACTAAGCTCCAAAAGGGTGAAGAGCCTGCCTTCCATGTCTCACCACAGTCCTTGGTGGAATTTTTGATTCTTGGTAGGCTACCACATTGACAGCCCTCTTTCTTCCACATGAATAATGAATTATTCCAGTACGTACTTGCTTTCTGAAGCCTCTTCATGGCCACTTAAACACCTTGGCTTTATGGTACCTGCTGTTTAGGGAACAAAGAAGCCACCAGGTCATGACAGATTATAGATTCTCTCCTTGGATGTTTTGCCACTTACCTCAGTGGGGAGACAGTATGGATGCTGTGGGAAAAGCAAGGCAGGTTGTTAGGATTGCTGTGGAAATTGCCTCCTGGCTTAGCTTTTTACAACCGGAAGACCACTGGTGAATTTTTTATTCCAAGAACCTTAAAAGTCACCACGATTCTTCATTTTATCCTGTGGGACTTCTGGCAACTTCTATGGTACAGGTACTTCAAGCTTCACAGTAGAGAATTGCTGATAGAAATGAGCCAGTTAGAAGCTGTGAAGTGAGACAGATCACTGGGCATTTACAATGCTGGTGTGTGGTTTGCTCATGAAAGAGAATGCCTAACTGGAACTTATCTAGTGAAAATTAAAGCATTAAACCTTCCAGAGTGAGAAACAGTGGACATCTGCCAAGAAAAAACATAATCACCATCTCAGCTGAGCTTTCTCCAGGCTCAGAGCTGCACATGGCTGGGTCTCCTATGGAGAAACCACTCTCTGACTTCTGCTTTTCTCGCTGTTTTTCACAGAGCCTGAGCCCTTGTGAATCCGGCAATGACAAGTCTGAATGGTCGCCATGCCGAGAAAACCACTGACATGCCAAAACCATCAGCCCCCAAAGTGCACGTACAGAGGTCTGTGTCCCGAGACACCATCGCCATTCATTTCTCGGCATCTGGGGAGGAGGAGGAGGAAGAGGAGGAGGAGTTCAGGGAGTATCTGGAAGAGGGACTAGATGACCAAAGCATTGTAACAGGGCTCGAAGCCAAGGAGGACCTGTATCTTGAACCCTGGGGTGGCCATGACCCTGTTGGCCCTGCTGCCTCATCCGACCTGGCAGATGGACTGCCCGTGTCCAAGACCCCTGCCATTTTGCCCGTCTCCGAGAACACTGTAAAGCTACTGGAGTCCCCTGCTCCGGCAGTGCAAGTATTAAGTACAGTGCCACTGGCTCTGTCCCCAGGGTCGTCTTCATCGGGGCCCTTAGCTAGCTCTCCCAGTGTGTCATCCCTTTCTGAGCAGAAAACCAGTTCTTCCTCCCCACTGTCCTCTCCTTCCAAGTCTCCTGTCCTCCCATCCAGTGCCTCATCCTCCACCCTTTCCAGTGCAAAGCCCTTCATGAACTTGGTAAAGTCCCTGTCAACGGAGGTGGAGCCAAAAGAATCCCCACACCCCTCACGGCACAGACACTTGATGAAGACATTGGTCAAGTCTCTGTCCACAGACACCTCCAGGCAGGAGTCGGATACTGTGTCCTATAAACCGCCTGACTCCAAGCTGAATTTGCACCTTTTCAAGCAGTTCACACAGCCACGAAACACAGGTGGAGATTCCAAAACTGCGCCTTCTTCCCCGCTCACTTCTCCCTCTGATACTCGCTCCTTTTTTAAAGTGCCCGAAATGGAGGCGAAAATCGAAGACACTAAACGACGCCTTTCAGAAGTCATTTATGAGCCTTTTCAGCTCCTCAGCAAAATCATCGGGGAAGAAAGTGGCAGCCACAGGCCCAAAGCCTTATCCTCAAGTGCTTCAGAACTCTCCAACCTGTCCAGCTTGAATGGGCACCTGGAAAGCAATAACAACTATAGCATCAAGGAAGAGGAGTGTGACTCCGAAGGGGATGGCTATGGCAGTGACTCCAACACCCCCAGGAGCGACGACCCAAAGCCCACTGAGGAATCTACAAAAGAGGTGGAGTTCAAGGCTTCCCAGGCCAGCAGTCTGAAGGACTTAGGTCTGAGGACAAGCTCTCTCGTTCTTGAGAAATGTTCTCTGTCTGCCTTAGTGAGCAAAGAGGATGAAGAGTTCTGTGAACTGTACACTGAGGACTTTGAGCTGGAGACTGAGAGCGAGGGGAGACTGGAGAAGCCCTTGGATGTTCCCCTTAAGGCAGAGGTGCTTGCTGACGATGGCATGGTTCTTGACAGTGAGGATGAGGCAGACTCAGCCACCCAGCACCAGGAATTACCTGTGAAGATGCTGGGCTTCTTTATAATATGTGTCTACATGTACCTCATCCTCCCCCTCCCCTACTACCTAAGCGGGCTCTTCCTGGGCATCGGCCTTGGGTTCATGACTGCCGTTTGCATGATTTGGTTTTTTACACCACCAAGTGCTCATAACTATCACAAATCACACAAAACTCTGCAACACTGGAACACAAGATCTCTGGACATCAAAGAGCCTGAAATATTGAAGGTAAGCCTTGCTCTGGCTGCTGACAAGTCCAACTAGCAAGTAGAGCTAACTTATTCTTGGAGCTAAAGGTTAACTGTTTTCCACCAAGATTCTTTTTCAGTCTTTAGAATCTCTCTTTTCTCCAGGAAGCCAAGAAGCTCAACTGGTAACCTCCCTGTAGTTCATGTTTGTTTTGTAGTTTTTCAGAGTTCTCCATGACCCCAGATAGCAACATTTATATAGTTCCTATTTAGGTCTGTCTGTCAGTTTGTTAGGCATTTGCTACTTGTTAAGGATTTGTTATGGCTGAGTGTTAGGATTATATATTCTTGAGACTCGAATCAGGTTAAATGCTTGTAGAATTGCAAGAGAAGGCCCGGAGGAAAGAGACCAATTAATATCCATTGCCCGCCCGTGTAGCTATCCCCTCTTTGTGCACAATGGAGTGAGGGCTGGGAAAGGTGTCATATTTGTGTGCATGCCACGTGCCAGGATTTGGGCCTGCTGTTGGTATGAGATTATCTGTCAGGACACAGGACAAATGTATTAGAATTTCTATTTATTTCTACCTATTTAAGTTTTCTGGCTATTGTGTATATGTCATAATACATCACGGTATTATAAAAGTATAGTTATCGTTTATAGAGTTTGTAAGTCATCTATACGCATTTTTATATGTGTTTTCCCAGATAGGATGTAAATCAGAACAATTTGGAGGCCACTGTTCTATAAAGGTTGTCAAGTTCAACTTCTTGATTACCTGTTGGCATTTGGTGCTTCCAGTTTTAGGCCTGAGACAGCTCTGCAAGGTGGTCATTTATCCAAGTTTTCTTGCCATTTAATTGAGTACCCCATGATGCCTTTCCACAGAAAGTTCACTCCTGGACCTTCCCTGAAAAACTGTTGCTGGCATTACAGAAGATGTGCAAGAAGAATTTTGTTTTCTTGGGGGAATTTTGAACGTTGATCTTAACCTTTAGCTCTTCCAGTTGCAAAATTGTTTGGTTTCTGTTGTTATAAGACTTCCCTTCCCTTCTATCTCAGTTAGAATCTAGGTAAGAATGCTTTAAAGATGACAACATGATCTCTCTTTATTGCAAAAAGGAAAAAAAAAAAAGTCAAAAGTCAGGGGCCGGGGATGACTAAGATATTATTTGATTTTTTTTTTTTTTTTAATTTCATGGCCTTTCTTCCCATATGTAAAGAAAAAACAAAAACAGAAAAACAATACAGCTAGGTGTGGTGATGCACTCCCTTAATCCCACAAGAGGCAGAGGCTGGTGGATTTCTGGGAGTTGAGTTCAGCCAGGTCACAGCCAGCTGTGACTACTGGGAAACCCTGTCTCAAAAATACTAAACCAACAGAAAACCAGTCTGTTTTAAAAACACAGAGAACTCAAAGGAAAAAAATTATTAAACAAGTGAAAGGGAATTACAGTTAATGATTTGATCTATTATCTTGGCTATTTTAAGTTCTGCAGTTAGGTGGGTCTGTATACGCATGCACGTATTCAGCCACTCTTCTATTTGATTTAATGCAATCCTATATTTTGCAGCCTGACCTTTTTTCTTTCTTTCACACACCAGTATGTTATGAGACTGTTTCTTTTTAAGGGAAGCTGGTGATGGCGCTTGAGGATGTAAGGCCCTTGGTTTAGCATGAATTTGTGAAGTGGAGCAAAAGTGACTCATTATGCATGGTGGCTCCACTCTTTTGAAAGGGTGACACTGTGACTACCTGATTTACATGTGCTCTAAATGACTGAGTGATAACTTTAGCAAAGAAACATGGTGCTTGTGTTAATTGCAGTGCTGCTGACTGATGGTGGCATTCAGTTTAAACTATTGGAGCATTTATTTGTCCTGGGAACATTTTAATTTTAATACAGTCAGTCTTAAGTGTTGTTCCAATCACTGTTGTGTGTGTTGACAATTTACCAGCTACCGAGAGTGCTGTAGTTGTTGTTGTTTGGTCTTTTTGAGACAGGCTCTCCCTACAGCCCCAGCTGGTCTAGAACTCGCTATGTAGACCAGGCTGGCCTCCAACTCACAGAGATCTGCCTCCCAAGTGCTGGGACTAAAGGCACGCACCACCACACCCTGCAGTAGTAGTATTTTAATGGTATGATAGGTTGTTTTAATCCAGTGATTGAAACAGTTAAGGCTGGGGCTAGGTTTGGTATGTTGTCTCATTCATACTACGTCACAACCCTTTTCAGTTAGGATTTGTGCTCATGAAGAAATGGAGGCCCAGGGAGGTTATATTACTTGCCCGTAGCCATGTAGGCCTGGTGTTTATCTTAGTCTGTTGTCTGTTGCTAATTATATAATACTGCAAACTAGGTAAGTTATAAAAGAAAAAAGTTCAGACTTGGTGGTGGTAGCCACCTGCCATCCCAGCACTTGGGAGGTTGAGGCCAGATGAATGTGAGTTTGTGGACAGCCAGGGCTATATTCTGAGACTCTGTCTCAAAAACCAAAGAAAAGATGTTATTTTTGTTCCTGGTTTTAGCCCAAAGTTGAGGGACTTACTGGTGATGGCCCTCTTACTGGCAGAGTCCTGAGGTCCATGGGCATCATCGGTAGGTGATAGAGGGCACAGGTGTGCATGTGTTCTCTACCTTCCCTGTCATCTTATAAAGCCACCAGAATTCAGTGGTGGGTCTCCATCCCAGTGACTATCTAATCCTAGTCACCTTCCGTACAGCACCCCCAAATGCCATCATCAGAATAAGTTCCCACCCTAATATCCCACAACCTGAGTAATTCTTCTCATTTTCAACCTTAACTTGTTTAGAATGATTTCATTACTAATGAGGAAAAGTTGGTTTTAGCCTGAGTTCTTTTGCTTGGTGTATATACACAGAAGCTTTTAGAGACTTGACTAAATAGCTCTGTTTAGAAAAGGGACAGAATTACAGGTTAGAAGAATGTACAGTTTGTTACAAGCTTCAAATGCAAGATTTCAGATTTTGGAGCTTAGTTTTACTGAGTGGCATTGACATTAAATTTAGGGCTCAAATGTGATAAGAAAAGGAAAGTATAATGGAGTCTAACTTTGGCTGTCTGTCTTCTGTTTTCTCATTGGATTTGTGATGTATTCTCCAAATGAGTTAGGTTAACACAGCTTTGGTAAAACAATGGAAGTTTATTTCTTGAGCACAAACCAGCCTTATATGGGTGTTCTAGGAGGGTGGGCGGCCCCTGTACTTGTTGATTCAGGGGCCCCAGACTCTTGCTGTCCTAGGTCTACACCCAGGGCTCTGCCGCTTAGCTTTTTCCTAAAGGATAATAAATATTTTAGGCTTGTAGGCAGCACAGTCTTACTGCAGCCACTCAGCTCTGCACTGCAGCAGGAAGGCGGCTGTAGATAATAGGTTAATGGGTGGCTATGGCTGTGGCTGTGTTCCCAGTTTGCCAGCGCTGTCCTAGGTGTTAAGAGGTTTGTTTGTTTGGTTTTGGTCTTTTTGAAACAGGGTCTCCCTGTAGCCCCAGCTGGCCTGGAACTCGCTGTGTAGACCAGGCTGGCCTTGAACTCACAGAGATCCGCCTGCCTCTGCCTCCCAAGTGCTGGAACTACAGGCGTGCGCCACCACACCCAGCTAAGAGTTATTATATTGTATTTATTATTTTTATTTTATGTGTATGAGTGTATTGCTTGCATGTATGTGAGTGCACCCGTGTCGTGTCATACAGTGCCACGGATTCCCCTGGAACTAGAGTTAAGGACGGTTCGTAGCCGCCATGTGGGTGCTGGGAATCGAACCTGGGTCCTCTGCAAGAGCAGTCAGTGCTCTTAACCACTGAGCCATCTCTCCAGCCCCAAGAGTTATTTTTTAAGCTATGCATGGTGGCGCACGCCTTCAGTCCCAGCACTCTGGAGGCAGAGGCAGGTGGAGCTCTGTGAGTTCAAGGCTAGCATGGTCTACATAGTGAGTTCCACGCCAACTGAGGCTACAGGGAGACCCTGTCTCAAAAAAGACCCAAAACCCCCCAAAATTATTTTTTTTAAATATTTAATTTTAGCCAGGCGCGGTGGCACACGCCTTTAGTCCCAGCACTTGGGAGGCAGAGGCAGGCGGATCTCTGTGAGTTCAAGGCCAGTCTGGTCTACATAGTTAGTTCCAGGACAGCTGGAGCTACAGGGAGACCCTGTCTCAAAAAGACCAAAAAAAAAAAATTTTAATTTTATGTATATGAGTGTATTGCCTGCATGCATGTGAATGCACCAATGTCATGCAGTGACTACAGAGGTCAGAAAGTGGGTGTTGAATTCCCTTGCAACTGGAGTTACAAATGGCTATTAGCTACCACGTGAGGGCTAGGAACTGAACCTGAGTCCTCTGCAAGAGCAGATAGTGCTCTTAACCTCTGAGCCATCTCTCCAGATTATATTGAGTTCTTTTTTTTTTTTTTTGTCTTTTTGAGATAGGGTCTCCCCGTAGCCCCAGCCATCCTGGAACTCACTATGTAGACCAGGCTGGCCTTGAGCTCACAGAGATTCCCCTGTCTCTGCCTCCCAAGTGCTGGGACTACAGGCGTGTGCCACCACGCTCGGCACTTAAGAGTTCTTATGTGCAGTTGTGGAGGTACAGTAACAAGATGGCGCTGAGCAGCTTAGGTGAAGGCAGAGCCAGCTAGCCAGCTTGACACGCAACAATAAGGAGAAATAATACTGATTGTAGCTCAGCCAGTGAAGGACGCATGATCCTTTTGGCAGAAAGAAAAAAACATACCTACTTATATGCCTAGACCTGGAAATGACACCTATCATCCGTTCATGCCCCACTGGAGTAAGCTAGTTAGTTACATAAGCCTCTGAAATGAAAAAGGCCTCATCTGGGTGACTTCTCCCCAGCCACAGCCCTACTCTAAACCCAAATTTTGGAGGCACAGCAACCATCTCTGTCTCACCTTCATAGGACTTACTAACTGTAGTTCCATGTTTATTCTCTGACTTCCACAGTACATAAGCTTCATAAATATATTAGCTGTGTTCATCTGCTCACCCTTGTATTCTC